CTGTGCGAGCGTGCGTTATCTCCTGTGTGCATGAAGATACAGCAAGATACCGGAAGGAGAGGGAGCCGTATAGGAAGATACCGGATATACCGCAGAAGATACCGAAGATACCGCAAGAAAACAAAAGGTCAAGTAAAAAGGTCCCGCGCCGCCGCTCTTTATAATGTAATTGGAGATTAAATCTGCAATTTTTCAGATTGAAAAAGAAACGGCAGCAAATCCAGACGACGGTGATGAAGGCAACTTTCCAGGCAGCTGACTGGAAAACAGAAATCTCGGAAGCAGACGCGGATACGGCCTGGCCAGCCGGTCACATCCCCGAGAATCGGCATCATCACAAGTTACCGTCGCCCGTGGATTCTGGACCCCTGCGTAAGGGCAACGCCGTACAACAGCAGCAACTTTCGAGGGGGGCGGAGAATCAACCCCCATTTTTCCCGAAATTGACGAAATGCACGGAAGATCGGCGCGGGATCCGAGGACCTCACGGAAGCACTTGAAATTCGTCACTGTTCGGTAAGCTCGTGCCACGGATACACGTGTGGAAGAGCCTCGAGGAAGCGACCCCGAAGGAAGCCATAGCCAACGAACATTGTAAGCCGCCGCACAGGTAGCCTTATTATTGTTCATCCGGGATCAGTTGGCGTCGTTTAGAGATACCGTCGCAGGGCGACGAAAATTTCGTAAAGATATCGCGTAAAATAATTGTACTTGTACCGTAATTGCCGGACGCCAGCTGTCCCCGGGTGTCGCGGATTTGTTCCTCTCAGGGGGTTCGCGCCGACAGTCTCGTGCCGTACCGTAGAATTTTATATCGTTAATTACCGTTAAATGTTGTTTCGTGTCATATTAAGCGTGTATGTTACCGTTATGTTACGTGCCGAAATCTAAGTCCTAGCGTGACGTGGCAATTTTGGTCGCTTCGTATCGCATATCGAAAGGCGGGATTTGCGCGAAAAATTTCTTCGCGAGCGTGTGTTACCGTAAATGAACAATTTGCTCTGCAAGAATATTTGTTAACGCGAAATCTCCGCTGAATCATCTTCCTGTTATCGATTATTCGAAAAATTCTATTGTTCGACTTAGAGTCTTTGTTGCCGAGCACACAAGGTCGCGATAAGACCGTTAAATAAAGCCAACAGTTCCGCATAAACATCATTGCCGCTACCGTTTTCCGAAGCCTTGGTTTTTCTGCCAAAAATATAGCGTGAAATATTATCGTCGATTACCGTACCGAAAAATCGATTCGAGATATATCGAAATTTTTGGAGAGACGTGTGCCGTTGAAACGATACTAACAGGATACTCGATTATTGTAGTCTACTCATTATCCGTTACTTTTGAATAGTTGTATCGCCAATTACCGTCAAATAGTATATTTAGTTTCGTTCGATTAATATCGAGATTCGCGCGAGGCTCGTGCCTCGACCTGTGCTCCGAAGTCGTACGTGTTGATTGTACGCCGACCGCGAGTCTTATCCTGTAGTCGATTACCGCTAATTACCGTGAATTATTGTAAGAAATACCGTTCAATTTTTATCGAAATCTTGCGGCGGGTCTCACGACTCCGGCCGTGTTCGGAAATCTGACTGAGTATTATATCTCGCGTATTAAAGATTACCCCGCTGTAAATTATTATTTGAGCTTCCGTATCGCGATTTGTGAGATATTATACATCACTTTATTACCGCTTTCATCATTGTATTATAGTCACACATTTTGCATAGATCGTTGCCGTTATCACGATCCCTGACCTTCGCGTCAGTCGTTACAAGTCAAGTCCTTTGTCTTTCAAACTCGGATCTTCGATTGTTTATAGTCCGAGATTTATCTGTTCGTTCGTGGCTTGTTTTTTTTTATACCGCAGGTTATACATTATATTGATCTTATCTCTGTTATACCGTTTACTATCTGTACCATTATTGTTTAATATATTTAGATAATTATAAGTAAAATAGCTAACTGTCGATTATTTCTCTCTTCTAAATACTGTCTAGCGCTCTCTCTCGACATCTAATCCACAAAGAACTCTGCCCCTCTGCCAAATACTGAGCCCGGGATCACCGGATCTTGCCGTTACCGTATCGTTATCGTGGCGCGGAAATACCGCGCCTGTAGCGCGATTCTGTAATTCGTTATATTTTTAACGACAGAGAACGATATAGTTACGATACCGTCTTTTGTCGCATGTAACGAGAATCCTATATCGACTGTGTGATTCTGTAACGCGTAATAACGATACTTTGACGCTACACAACGTGACAACGAAACATCGTTATTTAACGTTGTCGTTATGCGTCTAAGCCAATAAGAAGACGCGTATAAATAGGTATGTACATCACAGAATCTAATTACTGTGATCATACTTCATACAATAACCTAAAAGATCGTCTGAACGAAAAGTTTATCCGAATTAGTACAATAAAATATATAATTATATAAATATATAATAATTTATTTGTAAAGTGTATAATTCGCAATGGTACCTATATCACAGTAAGTATACAAGATTTTGATAATAAAGTAAAATACGTATTATTTTGCACATAACATATACTGTATTTATCGTTGTCTGACTTTTATAAGGTTATGTGTTTAAAAACGTCCTTCCCGATTTTTTTCTTAGAAAAGAAAATAGAGTGGGAATAAAAAAAAGGCAGGCAAAGGCAACGTCAGCACAAATAGATTATATGGTCGATTATTTTGTTCAACATCCGCATGTAGCAACAGGGAAATTTAACAGTCTTCATGGAAATTCTGATTTAAGAGGATCTTGGGAGCAATTAGTAGCTGATCTTAACAAAATGGCAAAAGATGGTAAAACCAAAGATGTAAAGTCATGGAAAGCGGTAAAAAAATTAATTTATTTTTCTTTAAAAAAAATATGTTAAATACTATTATAATATTTTAGAAATAATTGTAAATTTAAAAAAATTATTTTATAAATAATTATAAATTTAAAAAATTTCTTTTAGACATGGCGAGACAATAAAACTGCGGTTTCTCAAAAAGTAGCAAAAATTCGAGCCAATCGAACAGCAACAGGAAATATTGGTGGTCCTCCTTTGAAATTAACTGAGCGAGAAGAAAAAATTTTAGGAATTATGGGTTTTGACTACGTCGAAGGAGTGCAATGTCCTGATGCTTTCCCAGAGGAACAAGTAATAACAATTTATTATATATATGTATATGTAAATATATATATATATATATATATATATATATATATATATACATACTCAGCAATAATATAATTTTAAAATAAAATAATAAAGAGAGATATCTTAGTCAGCGTTGTTTTATTCAGCTAGAAAAGATACGTTTTAACTATACCAAAAAATCGATAAATTTGTTTGGATTGTAAGATACTTATTGTTAGAAATAATATTCAATTATAATAATGAGCGTCAACAAGACATTGTTTGATTCTTGAATATTTTTTTCAGCCACAAGCAGTAGAATTGCTTTTTCAAGGACAAGAAGAAATTTTAGAGACTGTTCCTATTACATTGACAATACGGAATAATGATAATACAGTCAATTTTACTGGTTAGTATATTTTATTAAACATACATACTAAGTGTATCACCACAAATAATTATATAAAAATATAAATCAGCGTTGTTCTGAAAATAACACATTCCACTCTATTACTTATATTTTATTTTAGATTCTGTAATAATACCGAATTTAGAGACAGAAGGTGGCATTAATAGTTGTAAGTCATCTTCGCAAATGAATTTGGAAACGAGAGAATCACAGGCAAGAAAATCACCAATGGAAGAATCACAAGCGGAAGCAACGCAAACGAAAGAATCACAGACAAGAGAGTCACAAGCAAGAGAGTCAAACGCGACAGTTTCGCAGACTCCTAACAGAATACACAAATCTGCTAAAGTTACAAGACGAGGTGAATATCGTTGTATTATAGATATCCATTTTCTTATAACAATGTACAAATGCTATAATTTTTGTTTATGTCAAAATATTTTTCTTTTTAAGGTCGTGAAAGGTTGGGTACGCAGTTGATGGATGCGAGAAATGAGTTTATTGCACTAACCGATCGTCAAATTACATGTATGGAGGCAAGATCTTTTATACTATATTTTTCGAATATAAACTTTTTAAAAACGTGATTATAATAATCAAAATGCTTTAAACACTTTTATGTTTTCTTTGTACAGATATTCGCCAAAGCAATGGAAAAAATAGCCCACAATGATCAAGAACGAAATAAAATATTGCATGCTTTGATAGAAAATGAAAAAGCTCGTATGCAAACTTATCTGGATCTAACTGTAATCATAAAAGACTGTATTCAAATTTTAAAACGGCAATAAGCGAAGTATTATGTGATATTAAGTTTTTGTTTATTATATAAAATCAACCAAAGAGCTGTGTTATAGTGCTATAGTAATACCTACAGTATTTTTCATTTTAAAATAAAAATATTTTAACAGTATTTTTTATTTTTCAGTATTTTTTTTTAATTGGAAGTAAAGTTTTTTTTTCGTATAGTATTGCTAGCAATATATTTGTTATATTCATAGGTATTTCCTTCTTTTCTTAGTTTTATAGCATTATCTATATTATATTATTCACAGACTTTCAAATTATTTATTCGTTTAATAAAATAATTTTTGCAGTATTGTCCGATATTTTATTTGCATTTTACTGCAGTAAAATATTAATATTAATGTTGCTTACATTGAAGATATAATTTAAAAAATATTTATGCAATGTAAAATGTTTATTTTTGTATGAATATGAATACGAAATAAAAAACTTGAATCTTATATTTAAATATATTTTTGATTTATTTTGTTTAAGTCATACATACTTGAACCATATCATTTTGACAAGAAAAATAAAAAAATTTTGAAAATATTACAAGGAAAACATTGTACCATCCTATCATCATCTAAACAAATGCGTGCATGCGCATATACACCCAGCATACATATATATACATATGCATACTTATAATATATTAATTACTTTTATTCATCTTGAACGCGTTCTTCTGCATCACGAAAATTGGGAAATCTTTCCCGCATAATTTGTTGTTGAATTCTTTGAGCCACAACACGTGGCCCTCTTTGAGCTAAATCTTCCTCAACATTTATAAAGTATCCACCATTTCCGTTTTGACGACCAGCATTCTCATTTTGTTGGTTGACAGCTATCGGTTCTTGAAAATCTTCAAAAGGTAAACGATGTTGAATTCTCATATTATGAAGTACTGCACATGCATTAACTATTTTAGCCGCAAATGCTGGTTCATACATTAATACACGCTGATAAGAAAGACATCTCCATACAGCTTTTAAAACACCAAAGAAACGTTCAACAACATTTCTTGCCTTGCAATGCTGCTGCGTATATTGAAACTGACGGGTGTTTTCAGGAAAATCGGCCAAAGGTGTCATAAGCCATGGTTCCAGTGGATAACCAGCATCACCTAATGTAAAATATTTTAGTTTATGTGGCAAACTACTTCAAAGTGCAAATGTTTTCATTTATCAAAACCCACCGATCAGCCAAGTTCTCCGTTCTCCTCTGTTATAATGAAATTCCATGGCACGACGAATTGGAGAAACGCTCCAAATGTACGCATCGTTTCGTGCACCTGGATATCTCGGATTAATATTTAATATTTTCATATCTGGATCAACAATCTGAAAGCATAAAAGTACATGATGTTTCATTCAACCAAACAATTTATGACAAAAAAACTGTAATTATATATACTTATGTTAACTATTTTATACTTACAGCTTGCACGTTTAGGGAATGATTACCATGGTGATTAATAAAGGCTTCTTCATGTTCATGAGGTGCTATAATATTTACAAAAGTGCAATCTATAGCACCTATGGCTCCCTCAAATGATTGTGCAGCAATTGAGAACTTTTCACGTGCTTGCTGTCGTTCTTCTTCAGTCATTGGGAATTTTACCCATCTACGCAATAAGCGCTGATTAATCGCATCAGTCACGAGATGTAGACAACGACTTGTTGTTGTCTGACTAACATTAAATTGAAACTGATTGCCAACACTTCTTTGATAGCTACCTTGAGCATAAAATTGTATGGTAATCAATACCTATAATAACCATTTCATCTTAATAAATTTTAATTCGAAGGAATTACATTCTAATACTTCGTAAATATTTTGTTTTAGTATATTCTTTTAGTGAATATTTTTGACTTTTATTTTAAATATGCATAAAAAAATTAATCTATAATAAAGATATATTGCTGAAATCTTGCCAAAAATTTCAAAATTTGTATTAAATAATGTGATTTTAAAATGAAACTATTTATATACTCTTTTATGTAAAAAATATTAATCAAATTCAACATTATAAAGTTGATTACAATATTTTTTTTATTACCTTTATTTCTGGCTCTAAGCCACTAATTCGTTTATTTCGTATATCGGCTCGTATATCATTTGTAATGTGAATTATTATTTCTGGAGTAAGACGAAAATAGACAATAAATTCATCTCGTGGGAGATGAAAAGGATTTTGAGCATCTCGAAGCCGTCTTCTCTCTACACGTCTTTCTATCCGACGTACTCTTTCCATCAAAAACGCCAATTCCCATACTAAATACTCAAGAGCCATATTCACTACAAATTAGTTTTAATTTAAGTATATATGTATAATGCGTGTGGTGTGTAAAAGTTTATAATAGTTTGGTTTCATAGAGTTGGTGACTCACATCTTAATATCAGCTCATAATGTGATAATATCATTTGTCATATCATTTAATTGTTATTTTTACATGCGTTAATTATTAAATATTGTTTGTTTTAATTATGCCACAGAAAATACTTCAGTTTAAGGTGTGTTTAATTGAAACAAATATTTAATAATTAACGCATGTAAAAATAATAATTAAATCATTTGACAAATATGATATTATTATCGTAATATGATATTGAGATGTGGACACATATTTATAAAATCAATTATAATACACACTTTTTATTATTAGAAACTTTTATTTACCTTGATTGTTTTAGATGGTACAATTATCAATAAGTTCAAGTAGTGATTGTATGAATACTTTTATGCACATGCATTATATAATACAATATTATATAATATCTAAACGTTTCTAATTACTTATGACAATTGTCGTTATACAATAGCGAGGGGTAATGGACTTCTCGCTATGATAACGTTGCATAACGAAAACTTACCGACGTTTTTCGGAATCAATAGCGACGAAAATTGTTAACATTAGTTTACAGAATCACGTTTATCGTTATAATGATATCTCGTTATATAACGAAACAAAAACTGTCGTTATGACCACGTAACGACTGAATAACGAATTACAGAATCGCGCTAATGGCGCCCAATTACCTAAGTTACCGTATTATAAGTTACCGCAATTTCAGTTACCGCACGATACCGTTTCTCAGATACCCTACTGAGTTTTTATAATCTAATTTTTATACCGGCCAAGACCTTGCACGCTATCTCCTCGAGATCGGCGTTCTCGAGGCGGGCAACGGCGTCGCAAAGATTTTGGCGCCCAACGTGGGGCCCGACGCCGTGTGAAACTCAAGATACCGTATAAAGTAAAAATAATAATTTTTTTCGAGAGAGCTAGAGGGTGAGAGAAAGAGAGTTTTTCTTTCCTCTCGTTCATCTTTTAAAGTGATAGAGAAAAATCGACAATTAAGTGTTGTGCTTCGTTAATGTGTCGTTAGAATATTTTTAGCAGTGGTTTTTTTTGTATTTTGTGGTGTCCTGTACCGAACGTACCGTCTGGTTGGGGGTAAGTTAAGAATTATTGAAGGCCCTGAAGCGGCCTGGAATTTGTGTGCTTCGCGTAGAAAATTACCGAATTACCGTTTAAAATTGCATAGGAGTTACTTGCGTTTTTTTTCCGTTTTCGAATTGAGGTCATCTACCGTTTGATTACCATTTTTCATGTTACTAATTTGAATTTATTATTGACTTTCTGACATTTATTGCTATCTCGATAACCTTGTGTGGTGAAGATTTTATTTTTTTTTCTTTCTCCTTCTCTCTTTCGTTTGGATTTTAGGTCGTCTGCCGTTCGATTATTGTTCTTGCCGTTACCCAAAATCTGATTTTTTTTTTGTGCTACCGTTATTTAGCGTTATTCCGATAGTCTTGTGTGGTGAAAATTATTTTAAAATTTGATTTTTTTGTTACGATCATATCGTTGGTGGCTCTTTATTAGAAATCGAAGGAGACAACATAATAATATTATTAAAGGCTGCGTGACTGTTCCTTTGTCGACAACGAGAGAGACTAGTTTTAATTTTTGAATTTTTTTTGTTTGTTTGTTTGTTATGATCTTTAGGCTTTTCGCGTTTCCCGTATCGTTTGAACTTTTAAATTTTGTTTTATTTTTCTATACCGTTATTATTATTGGCTTTATTATTATTTTTTTTTAGATCTTTCCTCCTACCGTATTGTTTGACGATTTTGAATTTCCTTTTTCTTATAGGTTATTGTTTTGATTTTTTGAACTTCTTTTTCTTATACCGTATTGTTTGGACTTTTGAATTTTCGCTTCCGTACGGTTATTATTATTTTTCTTTTTCTGTTTCTTTACCGCACTGCTTTGATTTTTAAATTTCTCTTTTTCTTTTTACCGTATCATTTCGATTTTCGAATTTCTTGTTGTTACCGTGCTGTTTTGACTTTTTTTTTTAATTTTTTTCCCTTTTGCCGTATTATGTTGATTTGCGAACTTCTTTCTTTTCTACCGTATTATTTTGATTTTTGAATTTTATTCTCCTTCTACCGTATTATCTTGACTTTTGAATTTCTTTTACTTTTACCGTGGTATTTTAATTTAAAATTTTTTTTTCTCTCTTTGTGTGTCATTTCTCTTTTCTCTTTACCGTATCGTTTTGATTTTGAATCCGTCCTTTTGTCGTATTATTTCGATTTTTAAAGAATTTTTTTTATTTTTGACTTCCGTTAATTAGTAACTCTCTCGTTGTCTCTATGAGGAAGGATAGCGATTCACATCAGTGGATACAGGGGTTAAGCATCGGTCAGGCGCGTCGACATTTGTTGGATCGAGGATTGAGTGCCCAGGGGATATTGCCGGTTTTGCGGGCACGAATCCTCAGATACGAGACGCGCGGTAGCGGGGAAACCGAAGAGGGGGAAGAGACAATGTCCGTAGAGGACCAAGATGGTGCGGGGGCGCGAGATCTCTTAGCGGAGGGTGGCATGCCCGACCGGCGGGACCCACCACCCTTGGGGGGGCAGGAGGTGAAGCGGGACGACATGACACGAGATACCGGATACCGTCCGCCCCAACGCGAGTCCGCGGCCGCGCCACATGCGAGTTCCTGTCCGGGGAGGGCCTCAACAGCGGAGGCGTATAATTTAATGAGAAAATGGAACCTCCATTTCTCAGGAAAACGCGGTAACGACGCAGAAGCCTTCCTCTTAAGAATTAAGGAGGCCCGCGCGATAGTCCCCATCTCAGACGCCGACCTTTTTAAGTGCCTACCTCTCTTCTTATCGGAAATCGCGTTGTATTGGGTGCGATTGGAGAGCGGGAACTGGCGGGACTGGAACGATTTTGAGGCGGCATGGAGGGGCCGATTCGGGGATCCCGATTATCAATACGCTCTTCGCGAAATTTGAAATTTTCAGGCGGACACAGGGGGAATATGAAACCGCGGCCGATTATTTGACCTGTTTGCGGGCTTTACTGAATCGAATGACGCCCCCCTGGCCCTTGGAGGAACAATTAAATTTCGCACACCGGAATATGTTACCGCGTATGCAGATCGCTATTCGACGTCAAGAGTTCAGAGACTTCGCGACTCTAGAGTACCTGGCGACGCGCATCGAAAGAAGCCTTCAAGCGGAGAAAAACTACCGACCCCCGCTACCGCCGGAGCAATCTATCTTTCCGGATTTGGCCTACCACGCGCCGAAGGGTAAGGCAAAGAACGCTGCTACCGTTGCTACCGCTAACGCTACCGCTAAAAAGAAAGAAAGAAAGAAATCCGCGAAAACCCCTAGCGCGAATACCGCATCGACTGATACCGCTACCGCTGCCGCTGCCGTTGCCGCTACCGAACCCTCGACGAGTGCTACCGTTATCCCCAATCCCGCCAGCAATATAAAATGCTGGAACTGCGATAAGACAGGACACCGCGCGCGCGGATGTACCGAGCCGCGCCGGAAATATTGTTACCGCTGCAGGAAACGCGAGGTTACCGTCCAGACCTGCCCGACCTGCTCGGGAAACGAGAACCGGAGCCAGTAGAGAGGGTCCCTACGACTCCGAGTCCCGAAAGCGAGACCCCAGATACCGCATCAGATACCGCAGGAAATGATACCGTACTCCATTCATATGTCACCCTAGAAAGGGACGAGTTACCGTCGTTGAGATTTTTCCGGATTAACATATATAATTACACTCTCGCGGCCCTCGTGGACTCGGGGTCCAACCGCACTCTACTGGGCCGCGAAGGAATAAAGATTATCCGTGAATTGGGACTGGATACCGAGAGGGGCAGGGGGATACAAATAAGAACAGCGAATGGACAAATCGCAAATATAAAGGAAGAGATTAAGGTACCGTTAGAACTGGAGAACCAGTGTCGCGAAGTTACCGTTGCGTTGTTACCGAATTTAGCAGTTCCGTGTATTCTGGGATTAGACTTTCTTACGAAATTCGGAGTAACATTAGACTTTGCCACTAACGGATGGTATTTTGCCGAATCACCACACAAGAAATACCGCTTAGTTACCGAAGTAGATCCAAATGAGAGTTCTTGTTGTGGGATATCGGAATTGACGTCCACACAAGAAAAAACGTTAGATTTTTTTTTACAGACGTTACCGCAAACATCAGATAACCCCGGTGTGACCACGCTTACCGAACATAAAATAGACGTGGGGGATAGTCCGCCAATTAAACAGCGTTGTTACCTTGTATCGCCTAAGGTTCAGGAAGCCATACGTGCGGAGACTGATAAAATGCTCCAGGCAGGGATTATCGAACCGTCTTATAGCGAATGGTTGAACCCCATCGTAATGGTGAAAAAACCTAACGGAAAGTACCGCTTTTGCTTAGACTTCCGGAAAGTAAATGACGTATCTAAGAAAGACGCATATCCGTTACCGAATATGAATGGGATTCTCGACAAATTACGTTCGGCTCGCTATATATCGACCATTGATCTGAGTCAAGCCTACTTCCAGATACCGTTAGCTAAGGAAAGTCGGAAGATTACTGCATTTAGTGTTCCAGGGAAGGGACTTTTCCATTTTACGCGAATGCCGTACGGACTTACGGGAGCACCGGCAACCTTCCAACGATTATTAGATCGATTGATAGGACCGGAAATGGAGCCACACGCGTTCGCGTACTTGGATGATATCGTTATAGTAACACCGACATTTGAAGAACATATGACGTGGCTTAAAAAAGTGTTAGATAAAATTACTGCCGCCGGCCTTACCGTTAATCCGGATAAATGTGAATTTTGCCGGTCTCAGGTACGATACCTGGGATTTATCGTGCAGAGGGAGGGGCTGATGGTAGATCCGGAAAAGACGCGACCGATTTCAGAATACCCCGCACCGCGAAATATTAAACAATT